TGACATAAAGACTCGAACTCCTTCTACTTGTACTACGAATGAATTCACAGGCACTAGACAATTTTTTAAAGAAGGAATCCACACCACTCCCACCAAGCTTACGACAATCTAAGAAGACACTATCGCACCTTTCCCTTACAATAATATCCTGCATTTTTTCCTTTCTCTTCCTTTCAACAGGATTACTTACCTTATCTATATGACTAACTACTATTATAATATGGCATTGATTAAGAGCTTTCTGTGCTTCATTTCTCACAACTGTTAGCCACTGATGAAGCTGTTTGACTGCTTCCTTCTCCAATATATTGACTACTATCAGGAACACACCACCAGAACCTTGTAACAGATTTTCAATGACAGCACTGTGACTGGAGTAGTATTCTGAATGACCAGCAAAATCATGAAGAATGATATTACCCAGTGTCCTGTGTCGTAGTTTATAAGGAATGATGCCAGCAGTACAGGGCACTACCCCTCCAACATTTCTAAATGAACCAAGAAGAGTAAAACTAGTTGTGTCATTGATGACATGACTAAGAGTGCTTTTACCAGCTCCAGGATTACCCACAAGGAAAACGTTAACATATGAATCAATTGGATGAGATGATTTTATATTACCAAACTTCTTGAAGATAGGAAGAGTATTAGTGCCACCTCTCTGCTGCCTCTCTTTAGCTAGTCGTAATGGTGTTTTCCCATCCTTACCTTTAGCCAAAGGATCACATTTGCCAGTTGATAACAAAAATTCAACAGATGCAGAATGACCATAATTAGCAGCATAGTGAAGTGGTGTCCTACCATCAGAGGTATTGGCCATTGGATCACAACTACATTCATGAATAAGATACTTTAGAATATCAACATGTTCGACAGCACAGTGAAGAAGAGTCTCATCTTTCTTGTTAGTAGATTTTGGGTTACATTTGAAATTTTTCATGACATCAAGTGATCCATAATAAGCTGCTTTATGAAGAACAGTGTCTCCATCCTCATTAGTAGCCACTGGATCACAGGAAAACTCCTCAATGAAATACACCATCACATCAACATGATTGCCCATTGCAGCATAGTGAAGACAGGTATTCCCCTTACTATCTTTTTCTTCCGGATCACAGTCATATTTAGTGATGAGATCACCTGCAACATCTAACCAGCCATTCCATGAAGCCATATGAAGTAAACTAGCTTTTACTGGATACGCATCAAAAGGAGAAATTTTAATGGTAACTTCATCTCGTAACTGTTTTAGGTTTTCAATGTAAGGTAACAAACGAACAGAATCTTCATAATTAGCATCCTTGAATAATTTCAATAACTGTGTTCCTAACAAAGAATGAAATGAGTAGCATAAAACTACTTCATTAAATTAGGTAAAAAGTATTGACAAAAACATGTAACTAAATTGAGCTAATAACTTGACTATTTATTTTGCTTAAAATACAAGAGGTTTGCCTTTGAGCACTTAAATAAACGAGAGCACTAAAGTGCATACCCTCGCTACAGTCTGTGTGTAACAATTTTAATAAATTAAGAGAAAAATAATTAGTGAAAGTTTTGACACTGAAAAGAAGCTTCAGCATGTAAAAACTTAGTGAATGTTTTGAGACAGTGAATTTTTTGTTTTTTAGACAAAGAAGATCCAGCATGCTTGCTGCACTGCTGCAGCAATGTAAAGGTGTGGCTGCAATGAAGGTGTGGCTCAATCAAGCCATGCTCCACCCGCACACACAGTAATGGTGGCACATGGCTCTAAGTGGTGAAGAAAGCTTTAGTTTTTCTCGACTTTTAAACAGTTTAGCATACATTTGTTAGGCTCTATTTGTTGCAATACAAACGTCTATTGAGCCCCTGATGTTTAAAGACTCTGGCCGCTACTTCGGGAGAAGAGAGCCTCGTGTAAACTCACAAAAGTATGAATTTTTGGGCTACCATATCTTTAAAACGAAGATGATTAGAGCAATTCCTCTCATATTAATGAAACATGAGGCTTTGCTTTATTGTTTTATCTGCCCAGTTGCTCTTTTGCTCACACTATGAAAGAGTTGTCGGGGAACTGACCTACGTTTGGCGAGTTTGCCAGCTTCTTACTCCACGGAAAAGAAAAATATAGCATTCCCAAGACAGAGAATAACTTTTTCTAGAGCCAGTGTTGATTATAAGACTCTCCAGGACTAGACAAGAAAGCAGTGTCAGCTCAAAAGTGGAGGCCAAGCGAACACACACACACAGACAGGACGACTGCTTTACCCTCGCTTCCACGCCTACGCGTGGGCTCGGGTAATAATAGTTACCATCCATTAGGTACCACAAAAAATTATTGTAAATGTTTAAACAGAAGCCGAGTTGGAATAAATACATAAAGACACTGGACTATCAAACATTGACAGCATCCAGTATATACAGTACATGTACATGCATATAGTGCATGACACACTGACAGTGTAAATCAGTGAGCGTGTCTGATGTCTATAGACAGTTTAATTAAATATCCAATATTGTACAACTAGCCGGGAAGTTTCGTGGCTGTAGTTCGGTGGTTCTCAGCTTATTCACAGTTTTAAACTTCGTAGTATCATTCTCGGCTAGTTCTCTCTCCTTTCCTCTTTGGAGTCTCTCTAACTCTAACTTGTGCTTTGCCTGTAATCAGAAGTTTTTCGCCACAAAACTTTCCAGCAATATAGTATAATACTACTGTAGTACATACTACATTTTAATAAAAACCGACTAATTTTGGTTGGAATTACAACTATTTGGCTGTAGAGTATTTGGCATGTACTATAGTTTGTGATGATAATAAAAATAATAAAGTGATTTGTATATTCAAAACAAATCCTCAGACTTAAAGGCAGTTGAATTAATATTCTAACTAACGACACTTCTTGTGCATGTACAATGTGCAATGTATTTCTACTTGTACAGTGGAGAATATCAGGCATACAAAATTATACTATAGCACATGTATAAAGCCTGCATTATGATGACTATACTGTATTATAATGACTGCAAACTGAACAGTCACCAATCCCTGCTGCAGAAACAATAGTTTAAATTTATACATTGAAAATGTAAGAGAAATGAAAGCTTGAAAATGAAGGAGAAATTGAGTTTTCTAAGCAATCAAAAGCATTAATACTACAGCACTAGCTTGAGCATATAATATGTAATAGCAATACCACTTTATGTCATTTAGTAGTTTAAATACGAGCTTACAAGACCAATCTCTATAAAGGTCAGCTCACATTTTTTTGCAATCACAAGGTCTGTAGCACACAATGGCAAGAACAAAAACTTTTCTTTGAGGTCTGTTAACCTCAAACACTCTTAACTTGTGTTGCTGTACTTGTACTCTTACATTAAACAATTGTCATACAACACTTCTGGTTGCTTTGAACTGACCTCAGCCACTCAATCAAAATCCACAATGTACATGTACACCCATTACTACTGTATCAGGATATCATAATGACTTGCAATTGGATTATATGTAGCACCAGTAATTGTATTTATACAGTAATTGGGTTATTGAGCTATTGTTAGAGTATAATAGAGACTCACTCACCCTAGAGTGGTCGTTATGTTCTGACTAAAAGTATCATGAACGAAGCGTCCCACGAGACTGGTTTTACCAACACCAACGTCCTACAAACAATAGAGAGAGATAGTTAAGAGATTGAAGGAGGAGAGGGCTTACTCCTAAGAGGCAAACTTTGACTTCTCTCACTGACATTGTTGAATCTGAATCTGTGGAATTGCTGATCGAACAACCCCACCTCTTAGCGGGTTTGGGCGGGGTTTAGTAATGCGCATGCGCAGAACTATTCTGGAAATCCTAATCAGCTGATGGCTAATACATGTATACATGTATA